GGCACCGTCCCGTGGTTGTGGGTTGGGGGGGAGGACGGCAGACTACTGGGGTTGGAGGAGTGAGGGGATTGGCTGGCTGGGGTGGAGTGATCTGCCAATGAAAACGCAGCTTTAATTTCTTGTAATACGTTGAAGAGAAAATCTTTGTGTGTGTGTGTGTGTGTGTGTGTGTAAACAAACCAGAGCTCGCAGGAAGGGACGGGGACCAAGGGTTGCCTTCAAACAGGGAGTAGAGTGACGGCTCCTGGTGCATCATGGGAGTGTCAGGCTTCGAGCCGGGCGGCAGGTTCTTACCGTAGGCCTGGCTGAAGATGCTGTTCTGATGAAACTCCTGCAAACACAGCAGCTCCGGGTCAGAACAGAACAGACAGAAAACTCTGGCCTCTGCTGGACAAGCACTGGTACTGCAGCACTTTTCCTCCACTCGATGCAGGTTTGTCTTTGAACTAGCAGTTGTAAAAAGGCGGGCGTGCTGACCCTGAGCCTCGGGGGAGAACGAGCAGACACAAACCTCCAGGGCGGGGACCAGAACTGTGCCACTATACGCCTAGACCACTGGCTGAACTCCCACGATGTGGTGAGCAAATAACAAGTGATAAGACAAGTGTAGGTCTGACCTGCACAGGGAACCCAGACATTGGCAGGAGAGAAGACGATTGGCCCACGACCTCAGGTCCACTTTCCATCCTGGTCTGGGTGGACAACTGCTGAGACAAACACAGGCAGACAGGGTGAGGACAGGAAGACACACATCCTTTCACAATAAAAGAATGAATGAACAAGCTGGAGACATGACACACTGCAGATGGAGGAGTTAGCAGCTGGACCCTAATGCTCAGGGTCAGGGGTCAGGGGTCAGGACTAGGGTGAGGAAGGAGGAGCTACATACAAATATGTTTGGTCCAGGAGCAGAACTAAGAGGAGCAGCCAAGGCCTGGAAGAAATCAGGAGGCTTAGAAAAGACAAGCTCCTCCTCCTCCTCAAAGTCTGCTAGAGTTTTTAACAGGTCAGGAGGGAGTAGAGGCGAGCTCTTGTTGTCCTGGTGAGAGAGGAAGTCAGGGAGAGAAAGAGGAGGAGCAAAAGGAGGAGAAAAACAGAGAAGCAAGCGGTTAAGACCAAGGTGGAGAAAAAGAAAGTCCTGGAGAAAATCACAGAAACCTGGAAGTGGATCAAGGGATTAGAACCGACAACATTCAGAGAAGTGTGTTCAGTGACAGGCTTCATCCACGGGGCAATTAAACGGTTCAACTCTTGACTGAGTGGGAGGAGGAGGAGGAGGAGGAGGAGGAGGGTGAACAAACCACTGGTGGACAGGTGAGGAAGTGCAATAACCATCATTTCATTTCATTGACTGTTAGATTTCTAGTTGATATGTTTACATGTATGTTTACATGTTTGTTTACATGTTTGTTTACATGTTTGTTTACATGTTTGTTTACACAGCGTGTCCATAGATGTTTATATGTGTAAAACATTAAATCAGAAAACAACCAACACCACAACAATAATTACCGTATTTTCCCTACTACAAGGGCAACTTCAAAACCTGGAATTTTCTCAAACATCAACAGTTCGTCTTACGGCACCTGCTAACACTAATCTACGTCGACTAACTAACTACTAACAACTAACCTACTAATCCAACCCACTGTCCAGTCGTCCAGATTCAGGGGCAGTTTGCTGTCACTGCTGTTTGTATTTATCTGTGTTTTTCCTTATGTCTTGTTGTTGTTGTTGTCGTGTTGTTGTCCTGTTGTTGTTCTTGTTGTTGTCTTGTTGTCGTCGTCGTTGTTGTGGTGTTGTTGTTGTCTTGTTGTTGTTGTCTTGTCGTTGTTGTGGTGTTGTTGTGGTGTTGTCGTTGTTGTCGTCGTGTTGTTGTCTTGTCGTCGTTGTTGTGGTGTTGTTGTTGTCTTGTTGTTGTTGTCTTGTTGTTTCGTCTTGTTGTTGTTGTCGTGTTGTTGTTGTCTTGTTGTCTTGTTGTTGTTGTCTTATCGTTGTTGTGGTGTTGTTGTTGTGGTGTTGCTGTTGTGGTGTTGTTGTTGTCTTGTTGTTGTCGTGGTGTTGCTGTTGTGGTGTTGTTGTTGTCTTGTTGTTGTTGTCTTGTCGTTGTTGTGGTGTTGTTGTTGTCTTGTTGTTGTTGTCTTGTCGTTGTTGTGGTGTTGTTGTTGTCTTGTTGTTGT